TCCAAAAATTTTTTTTTTTTTTTTTTTTTTTTTTTTTTTAAATCAGAAGCTATTTTCTAAAGCTTCAGGGTAAATAATTTACAAATAAGGTACACAAAAATTTAGATCATGCAGAGATTTCTTACATCTTCTGTTAATATTTTATGATTGCAACTTTATCAAATTATTTACCTACTTGCCCTATACATATACAAAATAATGCATACATGGTAATTAAATGTTAGCAAAAAGTAGTCCATAAACTCAGTTTGTCAAGAGTATCACTATATTAACATATGTCTACAAGCAGCGTGTAACAGGGTTAAGAGACATTAAGGCAATAATACTTGAAGTTACAAAATAAACCCTATGTAATACTTTTTCCTAAGTGTAATAAGGCAGGTAGATGACCCCAGCAAGGTTGGGTTGTAATACTGGAATCCACTGTTTTGCGAAATGCTTAAGGTTTTACGTGGGATGTACAGTAAAAAGTGTACCATTCTGCATTTAAATCTACACTGCTCTGTGTTAGTCCCCCAGAATAAGAAGTAGAATACTATTTTATCTAGTTCTCAGTGGCACTTTAATATTCCAGTATAATTTAAAGGATGTGGATTATAGTTCTTGCATCATGTCCATTCTGAAGGTGGCTCTCTTGGTCCTCTGGGTTTTCTGCAACGGTTCCCAAAGCCTAAAGATAAAACATGCAATATTTCTGTCAACTAAAAACACTAGTAAGCACTTTGGGGAGGAGGTGGGCAAAAAACACTGTTCATGCTATTATAGCATCCTTACTATTAAGATATCCTTAGGAGGTCTGTAAAATGGTATATAGTCTCAATACTGCAATTGTTTTGTTTTCACCTCTTGGAACTGTGCTAAACCACAGTTACTAACCACATTATTTAAACCCAAATTTGAAAGGTACTAATTCTATAACGCAGACTTATAGCCTTTTATCATTTTGCTTAGTTTTCTCCTGCACAAGCCTTAATACTTTAAGTACTCTTACTCAAGTTTTCATAACTGAACCATGAAAATATAATGCAATCATTAAATATACACCTTGTGTAATTTCTACTACATGAAAGATTCACAAGATAACCCAATAGAGAAAATCCAAACCTTTGTGAGAGTAGTGTCAAAATAATGATAAAAATGAAATAAAAATGCATTAAAGTATACCCATTTTCTGAAATTAACATAATATTCACATTTCCAATTGGACTTTAGCTACCCAATTACAGCTTCCAGCACTAATTGACAAAATACTTCTGTCAGATCCATACTAGCAGATCACTGGCTCAGGCAATACCTAGGGACCTACTGAAATTGTGATTTTGTGGATTTCACAAAATCTGGCATTGCCAGCTAAATGCGCGAGGGGAAAAGAAGAATACTTATAGAAAATAAAAGTGCCGGCTTCCCAGAGGGAGCCAGCAGTCTTCAGGGTGTTGCAGCAGCCCATCAGGGCAGAGACTGATCAAAGGGCTGATGGCAGTAATGGGCTGCAAGGGCTACCTGTCATGTGGCCCTGCCTCTCCAGCAATCAGCAGCACAGGTCAGGGCTACATGACAGACAGCCCTTGCAGCCAATCAGCAGTGAGGGGTGCGGCCACTGGGGCCCCTTGGCCAGAGGTACGAAGGGCCTGCCACACTCCGGTAGAGAAATGGCTGCTGGGCCATGTGTTCTGCCCACAGAATTGTGAGGCAGCCGCCTTGAATTCAGCAGGTCCCTACCAATACCAAAAAACCCCCTGCCAATGCTGCTACAGTTTATATTAACATTTTTATACTCAAACAAACTAGCCTGTATTTTCCGAAAGACATTTAATGTGCAAGTTTGGAAAGTTATGTTCCCAGTTAAGGTACTAAATAGAATGTGCATATACTGAAGAAGAAAGTAAGTAGTTGGCATATAACTGCATTAAATAAACAAGTACCAAAAAGTGGTCAATTTTGCATGAATTGCACAATTACCAATATCTGTCATCTCTGCAGGAATTTCTGAAATTTGACCTCTCATATCAGTAGAACTGGAAAGAGAAATCTGAGGTATAATATCTGTTGGCGTTTTGTTGCCCGTTTCTGGATGATCTGGAAAACAATTTTTTTTCATTTATTATACTAATTTTGTGGGATTCATTGTTTCTAAGTCAAACATGGCAGAAATTTTACATTTGCAGAAAACAAAGCTTTTGCAAACCCCCAAGACTAACAAAAACACCATCCTATTAGATTTTTTTTTAAACACACTTGGAGAAGCGCTCACAACCCAAATGCTGCAGCATTGGGAACAAAGTGAAGTTAGCTGCACTTGTTTTCATTGTCTAACTAAGAGAAATAGAAATCTAAACATTAAAGTTCTCACATTTTTACTATATAGGGTTAAAAAAATCCCTCCAATCTTACTTGTACACTACATAAAGCTACAACTGAGCTTTTGCGAAGTATTACTGCACAGGCTGAAGACACTACAAATTATGGTAGACCCCAAAAGACCTAAGAATGAGATGTACATGTGATAAAAAAGTACACATTATATATTCTGTCAAACTGCTGATGATATTAGTGAGACAACTGTCATGAAGTTAACAAAAAGGAATCATTCCGCTTTTATAACTTGTATTACAGGGATTAAACTGACAATAATATGAAAGATATCAAATTAACTGGTTGACACCTTCCATTTTATATCAAAATTTTGGTTACATTTCAAGAGCTACAGCAGCCTTAATCATTTTATCATGCCCACAATGGATAAAAAGGCAAAAAAAAGTTACATTACTTCTAAAACTGAGAACATAAGAAATATTATACTAGGTCAGACCACTGGTCCATCTAAGCCAGTATCCTGTCTCCAACAGTCACAGGAGTGGATAACTTAGAGGACAACTATATTAATAGGGTATACTCAGAACCGTCTGTCCCCTCCTACTCTCCCTAGCATCTGCCATTATTAGCTTAGAGATGCCATTAGGGTACAGCCCTGGTTATTCTGTTCAACAGCTATTAATAGATCTATCATCCATTTTTAGACATTTTTTAAGACAAAATTAGACATTTCTAGACCAGATTCAGTGTCTGAAACTTTAATGACATCACAGAGAATGCTAGAAAATTAAGCTCAAAACTAATTTTTGCAGATACATCACTATTTTGAAAACCTGTACATGTTCTGTAGTTGGGTACCAGCCCCAGGCACCAATTGAGAGGGTTGCCACAATGGTAGCACCCAGGACAACTACACTATTTCCAGCGGTGCCTGTGCTGCGGCAACAGCACCCCATGTTGCCATAGCACAAGCTCCCTAAACAACAGCCTACTCTTCTGCAACAGCCACTGAAGTGCTCAACATCTTCTCTCCTTACCCCCCACCCAATACTCAGTACTCCCTCCTCCTGCCCTGAGCACTAAAATTCCTAGGTCACACCTCTGTTAAATACTGTTTTGACATAACATAAATTTTGGTCTACAGAAAAGACACCACCTGAAGTTCCACAGACCACTTTCTTTCAAGGTTGTAACTATTTAAAAGGTTTGCCAACAAAATTAAAACATCTTGTGTCAAAAAAGGAAATTAAGCAACCAATTACAGATCTAAATAAAGGATTTTTTAGACGAGAGAGAGAGAGACAGAAAGCTTTAACTGGTTTTCTACTGGTTGGTTTCCTTATGGTTAGGTAACCAATTTCAAACTAACTGCCCAATTAGCTGAAAAATAGCTAACTAACTACGAAATTCTTTATTAGTTTCTCATCTTTGGTCTTTAGGAAAGTTTGATAAACAAATATTCCAAGAGTTCTACCTTTCTACTGACTACTGAATGGATAAGGCCTAATATTTGGCCCCTCAGAGCTCCTGAAATGCGTGCACGTGCACACACTAAATTAACAAGTTTTCAGTTGAAAGTTTTATGTTTTAAAATTTATCACTTACCAAGTTTTGCATGCCCAGTTGTTCTCAAGCCCTGTTAAGATAAAATATTGTATTTTAATATGTTGTTAGAATGCTACAAAGTATAGGCAGACAAGGTTCTTTGGGTGAATCTGGTATCTTTTATTAGACCAACTTAAATAGTTGGAAAACAATTATTAAGCAAGCTTTCGGGTTCAAAAACCCTTTGTCAGGCTAAGGAAGTTTCAGCAGTTTAGTGTGTGCTCTTCCTGACTGCATGCCTTGTATGTATGCCAGCCCAGCCTCTGACTTCTTTATTTTTCATTCCATCCAGGAAGAGCACACACCAACTGCTGAAACTTCCTTAGCCTGACAAAGGGTTTTTGAACCCGAAAGCTTGCTTAATAATTGTTTTCCAACTATTTAAGTTGGTCTAATAAAAGATACCAGATTCACCCAAAGAACCTTGTCTGCTTATGTCCTTAAACCAGCACGGCTACAACCTACACCCCTGTAACAAAGTATAGGAAGTATATTTGAGATGTTCAAGAAAAAAAAACAAAAAACAATACTTTTGGAAAGCTCTAATAAGAAGTTGAACAAAAAATTACTTCTTATGTGCATCATTGTAAGATTCATGTTGAAACCAGCAAGTCTGAGGACCAGAAAAAGCAGATAAGTGTTTGTTAATTCCTTTTCAGCTAAAATCATTTGACTGATTCTAATAAGGGCCAAGAATGCTGCCACCCTACATTCTGAATAATACAATGGTAAAACCATCATAGTTTAATATTTTTCTTCCTTATATACAGCACAGTCCCCACTCCTAAGTTTTTTCTCTGTTGTAGTTTGCCTTTAATATGTGTTCTCCTATAGGAAAAAAGATTGCAAACTACTTTTAACCAATGGAAAATGTGGTTGTTTCTAGCACTGCAGCATGAAAGACAAGAGAAAAATAGTTCATCTATGCCCAGCATTTAATTATTTGCATAAACTGTTCCATTCCTTTCACTTTCATTTGCACTCCAGACTATGCATCTGGAAAGGCTCCAGTCCAGTCAGGGCCAACTTTTTTGCCAGGTGTGCCAGACATTAGCACTGTACCCTGCCCAAGTGAAACTCTTCCCCTTCCCCAACCTGATCTGATGTTTTCTGCTTCCTGCCCCATGATCCCCAGCCAGATGTACAACTCTGCTTTCTGCTTCCTACCCTGCACTCCCTGCCCAGTCTTCTGCTCTGCTTTCTACACCCCGGTCCCCACCCTGGAGATTAGCCACTCCACCTCTCTTTCATCATCTGAAGCATGAGTGGCAAAAATACTGAACACTGGAATTGACAACTCAGCACAACAGGGGATAAAAGTTGTTCAGATTCAAATGTAGAAGGTTAAGCAAAGTTAAGCAAAGGGGTAAGTTATGTGGTCAGCTGCAACTAATCGATAATTACAGATCACTATTACATTTTACTTTTTGGTTGCAGGTTCAAAGGACTAGGTTTAGAACAAAAATTAGCATGGGTTTGTTACAATACTTACTGAAGATACTGTTTGTTCAGAGAGATGTGGATCATGCAGTATATTCCAATCAGCAGATTGTGCAAGTGTAACTGGCATGGGCAAAGACATGTCTAAGAAAAACAGAAAACTTAAACTCAAAGTGTACTTCAGATAAGTGGCAGTTTCATGAGTTTTTTTCCAGCATTGTTCATTGGTATGATGATGTGTTAGAGATACAAATTTTTTCTTCCAACACAGCTTTATAACAGACAGCGCTCGATATATTTTTAGTCAATATTTTGTTCAAGGTTCTGAAGAACTTAGAACTACAAATTGTGAACTTCATCAAAATGGCAACTTTAACAGGAGATGAATGTTGGTAGTTAGGAATTTCTTTTCATCAGGCAACTTCTCGGGTCCGTTCCAACTCTACGATTCTAATTGCGATGTGAGGATGTTCATTTTCAGATGAATATTTAAAAATGTAATACACTAACTTCAATTTCTTGCATAAGTTTATATCCGTGTGATTTATATAATGTATGATGATGCCATAATGACAATAGCCCTGTAATGCTTTACCTTAAATCTATTGGTTTCTTAAGGTAAAAAGTGCCTATTTTGTCTGGAAGCTTCCATTTTAAATGTTTTATATATTGGCATTAAATACATTCCAACAATATTTGCATGCAGTGTTTCTAATAATCGAAAGAAGAATAAACTTTGATTTTGTTTGCTAACTTTTTAATATCAAATTAATCAGTATGCTCTGCCTGCCCTAACCCTCTCTGAGACCACTCCAAGCATCCAGGAGTGCACATTTTCTTCCTGTCTGCACAGTTACCTTATTTTCCCATGCATTTCCTAGCATATGCTTCTCTTTGTTCTCTTGAACAAGACTGCTGAAGCAGCTAACTTCTTAAGAAAAAAATTAAAATTAATGGCCATTTTTCCCCTAACAAAGCTTGTCTGAGGCTGCTGCATCTTTAGAAAATATTTTTAGAAAAAAAAATTATTATTTTGCCTCCGTCTCCAACTGTTCTCAAATGAGGAAATCAAGAGGATCAGCTGGAAGGAGGTATCAAGTGGGACTCTTGTGGGTCTGTCCTGGATCCAATATTGTTTAATATCTTCATTAACAATTTGAAGGATGGTAATGAGTATATACTGAACAAATTTGTAGATAACACCAAGTTATTTGGGAGGTAGGATTAGGTTTCAGAATGTCCCTCATAAAACTGAAGAAATGGTCTGAAATCAAACAAAATTCAAAAGGGGTAAGTGGAAAGCCACACACATAGGATGGAACAACTGCACGCACAGTTACAACTGGGGAATGACTGGCTAGGCTCCAAGTACTGCAGAAAAGGACCTGAGGTTTACTGTGGACTATAAGCTAAATATAAACCAAAAGTGCACTCTTGTTGGAAAATAAGCCAAAGTAAACTACACTGTATTAAAAGAGTGTCACTTGTAAGTCAAGGGAGGTAATTTTTCCACTCTGAAGCATGGGTTTGAGGCTTCACTCAATGCACTGGGCCCAGTTTTGAACTTAAAGACGTGGGCTGATTGGAACCAATCCAGCAGAAAGCAACAAAAAATATTATAGGACTGGGAAATACAACTTATGAGGAAAGACTGAAAGAACTCAAATTATTTTATCTAGAGAAGAAGGGGGAAGGGGATTTGACAACAGTCCTCAAAATACCTGAAGGATGGTTTTATGAAGAATGGAGATAAATTATTTTTATGGCCACAGGGGACAGCACAAGGAGAAGTGGTCCCAAGGTGCAGCAATGGAAATTTACACTGGATATTAGAAAAACTCCCTTATTTATGAAATGGGTTAAGTACTGGAACAGGTTACCCAGATAGTTGCAGAACCTCGATCCTTGGAAGTTTAAAAGCAGTTTAGACAAACAGCTGACTGTCAGAGATGGTCGAGTCAGAGATGGTGCTGCCTTGAGCAAGAGGGTTGGACTAAATAACCTTGCGAGATCTCATTCATCCCTACTTTTCTATGATTCTATGTCTTCAGGATGATACTGTCCTGTGCTGTCAAGAGGGAAAGACTATCACTTAACATTGAGAACAATAGGAGACAGTCTTCTCAAGATGACTACCAACAGTTGTTGTTTTAAATCCAGCGAGACTGGTAGCTGATAATCACCTTGAAAGAAGGCCGTTCACGGAGGTCAGTACTCTTTAGTTGGGGCTGAGAAATACTTTCACTCATTTCTACTTACTGCCCTGGGGACTACAGAGAAGCTATTGAAGCAACCAGATAAACATCAGGTAACCAGGAGAGTAATGTAGCCAGTCTCCACACCCTGTGCTAGGTGGAAGATCTACTCCATTCTATATTAAACACATTAAGAAGTCAGTATCTGTGTCTTAAGAAAAATCAAACCCTTCAGTCATCAGGAATACAGAGACAAACTGCTTTAGAAAGCAAGCAGCATAATTTACATTGTTCACTGCTTTACACGTCCAAAATACATCCACCACTGTATAACAGAGAATAGAGCAATTCATGTCTACACATTTCAGATACCTTGTATATCTTTTTTTATTCCTTTTCAGGAAGGAACTGTTGAACAGGTTATAAAAACTTAATTCTCAATGTTTTTAAGTGTCTCAGGGTCTTGCACAAATACCAAAGCATTACCAAAACAGTCATCAAATTAAAACAGAGCTTCTCAATATATCTAACGCTAAACACTGTTGAGGACTAAACTTTAGATTTCATTTAGTACTATAGCTTAACATTTGCTTCTTAGTTGTTTTACAGTGTAAACAAAAAGCAGCAGCATTAGACATGGAATGGGTTTATTCTGGTTAAAAATCACAAAGTGTAAAAGAAGAAACTTACTCTGTTCATTTGCTAGGACAAATGACTCTGGTGTTCTTTCTGGTAGTGGGGGCGTGGAATCTTCACTGCCATCTGCATCTAAATCAAGTAAAGGGTTTTTAGATGAGAGAGAGCGCGCACATGATTTAAGCTGTTTTCTAATACCGCATTATAAGTCAATTTCTTGGAAGAGTAAGCCCACAGCATATGCCTTCGTAAAAAAGTAAAGCTTAAAGCAAAATGGAAAAAAAATGCAATACTGGTACATAACTTTATCATTACTATTTTAGCATGCCAACTCCTTGGGGCAAAGACAGTCTTCTCATTCAGTGGTAAGCTCACTGTGGATGCTTAAATATCAGATGAAAATGACTTCCTATTTAGAACCTCTGGCTGTCCTCCAGCACATGTTTGATGGAAGACAAGAATAAATATTCAGTAATAAATAACAGCACCACAGTAATACTAAAACAAATTTTGTCCATGAAATCAGCAGTGGAGCAAATAATGCATTACTACCTATTCTGGATATAGACAAAATTAGGGTGCCCTTTATTATGGAGAATTCTGCTACTCATTCTTAAATTTTTAGTAACAGAAGTGTCATATATTTACAATAGTTATAGTGATTTAGCTGCAATTTTGCCCTGTGTCGATACACAGCAAAAACAACAGTGGTCTTTGCAGGCCCACTATTTACATTTAGTCCACTATTTCAGACTTCCTGAAACAATGTCTTGTTACAGCGGTAGAAAGTGTTTCTACAGGCCCAAGAAGATTGGGAAGGGACTCCTTGTAGCTCAAAGAGTAACCGCCATTTGTCATGGCCTGTTTGCAAACTGGTGCATAGAGTTTACTCTCTAACAAGAAAGATATTTCTCCACGGAGGTGACAAAGTCCACACTCCTCACTTCTGACTTAACTGCATCTGAACTACTGGAAGTAGTCATTTACCAGATTGGCTGCATCTCAATTCAGGACTATATCAATGGACTGAGGAAAGAGCATAATTCAGGATCTGGAGTAAGGGGCAGAGTCGACAAAATTTCTAAACAAAAAACTTTGTTTGACCTATAGTGTGCTGGTCTTAGCACTGCAGTGACAACCCACAAAGGTGACAGCCCTGCTCACCAGAGTAAAAAGCTGTAATTATACTTAAAAGAAAATCTGGTTCCTCAGATTACCACCTGTTAGTGGGACAGAAAGTTTAATGTTGAAAGGTCCAAAGATGCCACTGCTGTTGTATCAGACGGACTCATGGCTCTATGTTTAAAGTAAGATTTAATATCTTGTTTAATAATTTATTTGATTTTATAAGTTATTTTGTCTTTTACTTGCAAACCAACCTGAGTCCTTCTTGCAGGGGAAGGGCAGCATATAAATTAAATAAATATGCTAAGTACTACAAGGACAGCTGAACCAAGTGGCAAAACGTGCAAGCTGATTGAATTTTTATAATTTTCAAGCTATCCTGCAGACAGAAGACAATGACAACAGTATCAATTAAAGCCAGCACTTCAAGACTATGCCTTGAGCGGATTAAAATTGTTATAACATTTTGCAATTTCCCTTATGTTGCCAATGTTTTAATAAGACATGATGATATTTCTGGTCCACTTTATCTATCAGCTCCAACTACTATCTGAAGTTAATAACAGTAATGCACAATGCCAGAACTTTTAAAAACTTGGCTTTTCCAGAGTACACTATCAAGCACATACAAGTCGCATTAACAATAATACAACTATAGAGTAGGCAGGCATAAAAGGGTGGAACAATATATTTGAGAGTCTTAAAATTAGGCACAGGTGACTGCTGACATGCAAAGACAAGTGCAATCAGCTATGTAGAGAATCATGTTCTGAACTTCACAAGCTCCATCTTAAATGTAGTCAGATTCTCCCATTCAATTGGAAGGCTGCTCCAGAATCCCACTTTAATGACAAACACAGTAGGCACAAAAATTTAATCTTTGGGAATTCCTGTTTTTGTTTGTCCTGTCTAAGAGTGGAGTCGCATGGGAATGACAAAGAAAAAGCAAGTAGAAGTGTGATGGTCCATTGTGTCTGCTCCTGTACCACGTCTCTGCTTGGAAAAGTTCAGAGTGCAGCACACGCGTCCAGGCTCACAATCTGTCCTCCGTTCTGCACTTATTCTTGCAAATTCTGTGTGGGAATTTGTTTTATTCTACACCATCATTTATCATGGCACATGTATAATAACGTCATGACTTCTGTCCCCTTCCCTGATTTTGCCTCAATACAAAAAAATGCCATTTGCCTGTGGTTAGAGTCAACACCTCATAATCCCTTTCATAAACTTAAACTCCATCTTCCTCACACTTTTTTCTTGACTTCCACCTCCAACTATTACTTTCCATTTCCAGGGATATGGTTAACTTCTTATTCCTGTTGCTTTTGAAAGGTCAAAAATACCATCCCATATCTGGTTTTGCTAGAAAACGTACTGAGCTCAAAAATATTAAATCAAGTTAGAGCTGCTGTTTGACTTCCAAGACGCTTTGTGCTGGACCAGTAGAATACCTTTCTTTCTGCTAGAGCTAATATACTACTCAGATGCTCACGTCATAAAGCATGCTAATTTGAATCAGTTTAGCTAGAACTATTCTCTGGTTGCTTCAGCTTTTCACAAACACCTGACACCTCTCTCACTAGCTGTCAGCATATCTGTAAAATGGTTTCTTTTGTAAAATTAAAGAGTAGCCTTTCATTCAAAAGGGCAAGGACAAAGCATTTGTCCTGAGATCCTATGTGCAGACTCTTTGGCTAAATTGACCATCAGATGTTTAAGTACAGGAACTCTACTATAAAGGTATCTACACAGGGATCAGTACAGACTAATGATTGATAATTATGCTAGTACCATTCTCTGTGCTGGAAACACAATGGTGGAAATAGAAGACTGCCTTGTGACTAGCCTTATTTAATCTCAAGTTTCACAATAAGGCATTTTTAACAGTGGCACACTAGAATGTAACAGGGCAAAATTCTGTAGTGCAAAAAAAGATCACACAAGCCTGTGTTGCCACTTCGTTAGGCCTTCTTATTAATCAATATCATTTTACAAAACAAGCAAGCTTCACTATAAGCTTGTACTGTGGTTTGTTTTATAGTGACTGGAAATCCCCATTAAATAACCCTATCAAGTTGGAAACAGTAGTACCCCTGGGTCCATCCTATCTGAATAAATGTATTATATACCTTAGGATGCTCAGCAGCGAATGCAGTAATGATAATCTTGGCCTAAAGCCTTGATTTTATCGCTGAAGTAGCCCATAAAGAAATAAAGTTACAATTTATAGTCCTCATTTTAAAGGATCATCTGCTAGATTATTGTGCACCATGTGTTCCACCACAACAAGGCTGGTCACAAGGAAAAACTGAATGTGACCATAAAACATGATTAAAAGTGTACCAGGAAGGAGAAAGGAACAAGACAAGGAACTGGATGGGGCAAGGCAAGGAGCAAGATATATGGCAGAAAACAGAGCCCACCAGAAATCATTGTATGTTTAAAGAGGAGAGTCTTTTCTAATGCTGTTTACAGCCTTGTTATAGGCAACTTAGCCTTTATTTATTTAAGGAATACATATTTCAATACTGCAATTCCATTGAGCAAGCCCTTGAGTGCCATATTTCTCCTAGTTCCTGTCACCATATATACAGTAGCTCTTGAACTCCACTGGTATTTGTATGTCCTCACAGTATCCAAACCAGGAGCTTAGAGATTTGAACTTTCACTGTGGGAATTGTAGGAAGACAGATATTGATTGCCCTGGGTAAGAACAGGAAAAATTTCTGCAAGTAGAAATACAGTTTTCTTTACTATGCTCAATAAAGCCCATTTTGACAGACACATTGGCATGGAAGACAAAGGTCTTTGCTTTGACTGGCTTAAAAAAAAAAATTAAGCATGAAGTAGTGACTTAACCTTTAGATTATGTGCAAACTATGCCTCTGCTTGCAAGAGACATTTAATCCTTGAAACCATGAAAGACATACTGGTTTTAGGTTTCTGAATAGACATAATTTCTGACAGAAGATTAGCATCAGAAAAAATACACAGACTGTCACAATCTGATGGATGCCCCCAGAGCTCTGAATTTCTCCTCACTAGGGATCTGTGTTTTTCATTTCCCATGGAAAAACTGAAAAAAGGTAGATTTTCACTTCTACCTGAGAACAATGTGGATTTTCCATTTTAATGGAGAAATGCACAGATTTTGCACTTTTGCAGAGACCCCTCTGCAGGCTGGCAGATTTCCAGCCTGCAAGGGGCTGCGGGAGCAGGAGGAGAATCAGGCAGAGGGTGCCATGCGCATATATATGCAGGTGGGTACCAGGAAGCCTGGAGAGCAGCTCTTGCAGGTAAGACTAGTGGGAAGGGGCAAGGGGGGATTAAGGCCCCCACAAGGAGAGAGGGATGAGTTGGGCAGGGCTGGGGCTGCTGCCCAGCTGGGCAGTGCATGGGGCTTAGGGCCTGGGGCTACAACATGCAACTGCAGGGCCCCAGCAGGGAGTGGGACAGGGCTGGCTCCCCACTGCTGCACACACTCCTGGAGATGGGGGCCCATGGAGGGCATGTGCCCCCCAGATCTGCGCACAGCGCTGGGGCAGGTTCAGGCTGCCTGCTGTGGGTTTGAGCTCAGGCTACCCACCCTGCTGCCTTCCCCCTGGGGCCTCCGCTGTTCAGCAGACAAGACTCAGCAGGGCAGAGTGGGGCTGGCCAGGGAAGCTCCTTGCCACTGCAAGCCCCATACCACCATGGCAAAATGCTCCCTGCATGCCTGGTATTTAGAATTTATTTTATTATAGTGACTGAGGTACCAATAGGCTTCCAAATTGCTTTAAAATTGTAAATATATTAACAAAACATTGTGGTTTTTTATATACATACACACACACATATATATACGTGCGTTTCATTTTAATCATGGACTGGGGCGGGGTATCAGAGAATTTGTGGTTTGTTTGTTTTTTTTTTAAGTCAGAGAAAACCAGGATCCTCACTATCCTGCCCCAAGGAACAGACCAAGGTTTGCCGTGTGATAGCTCCTTCTCCCCACAAACCTCCATGCCAATGTTTTTATACCAGAGCTCACAATGGCATCAGGAGAACCTCTGACAGCTTCAAGCAACTTTGCCTTGGGTTGTCAAAGAATTTTAGGTCCCCTTTCCATAGATTGGGTCCTGGACTACCATTCACCCCGAGATCACATTCTACCACAGGCAATACACAAGATAACAAAACAACCAAATAATTTATTTTATAGGAGAGAAGAATTATACAGGAAAAAATGGACATATAGTTTGAAGATAGAAGAAAAGACAAGTAAAGTTTCTCACCTTCTCAGAGTCCTGCCAGTATTTCCAGAAATCAGCCTTCCTGCTGATCCTACCAGTCCTAACTACTGCAGATCTGGGAGTCTCCCAAAGCCTGGGATACTCCCAAGAACAGGACTCACAGGCAGTCCCTAAACACCTCCAAACCAGTCCCTCCCTGCTATCAGCATTGTCTAATTGTTCATGAGTCTCAAAATCCTTTAGAATTTTTTCTCCTTCCTGGGGCATCTAAAATTACTCTAGTTAATGCCCCATCTTACTGAGATATCTTTGCAACTTGGGGGCAGGGAGGAATGTTTTTTTCCATAAACTGGGTTCCCATCCCAACAATAGGCCCTTCTGCCCATGTTCGAGAGTGGAAATTGTTCTTGCCTCTGTGACAGAGAGATACTCAGTTTTCACTTACTCCTTTTTCCTTAAATATGCATCCCTCAGTTCCTCTGACTAAACCATGTTCAAGATCATAAAGATAGATTATTAGCCAATATAAGATGGCGATTCTCAACAAGCTACAGCACTCCGCGGTGCCCTAAGACCCTTTCAAGTGTGCCATGGGAAGCCAGGCACTGTTAGCACTATTAGGCATGCAAACATGATTCATAAAATAAACCCTAAGATTTCAAATAAGAATTCATAGTGTTAAAACCATTCTGACCTGTTGTGCTCCGAGTTCTTTGCAACAACAGAACTGCTGTATTATTATTCTATAGTCAAAAAGAGTGACATTTTTTTCCAAAGGGTGACTTGAATCTAACAAGAGGTGTCAAGGCCAACAAGGGGTCCCTCAAGTGTAAAATGGTTGAGAACCATTAGGATAATCCAGCAGTTCCCAAACTTGGACAGACTGTGCACCACCAATTTAAAATGATACAACCTTCAGTACCACCATCAATTTTTTCTGTTCAACCTTACATAACACCAGCGAATTTTTGTCATAGAAAGTAATTATAATAAATCTGTTAACATGTATCACTGACAGGTTGTCTGCATACCACTGGTACCCGTACCACAGATTGGGAACTGCTGGCATAATCCATAAACTATAACATAATCCATACTGTGATAAAAGTGACATAGTTACAGCATAATATTGGCTATTCAGCAAGACAATACATGCCCTATCAATAAAACAAAAAAAACCCTGAATGACACTTAACAAACATCTGAAATTATAGTGGGGTTCATGACACCAAGGTCCCCTCTATGTGTTACATTAATACCACAATTAACATGTTAATTTCTGGTTGGCTTGCATGGTGCCTGAAACTGAACATGTGGCCTGGCTGATGATCAGTCTGGTCCTGGAACTGCACTGGGGTCAGACCCAACCCCGGATCCATGGGCACCCAGCTTGTAACCTGCCAGTACAGGGGGAGCCCAGGACCTGGGTAGGAATTTCAGAAAGCAGCCAGCATAGCTTAAATCTTTCCCAATTTAAAAATCAATGGTACAAAAATCCTTCTCCAAATTTTTGGAGCAACTTGGTGACACCCCTTCAGAGAACAAGTAGTATTTCTATGCAATAAGCATCTTAAACAGGATCTGGTTTGTAGAGATGCCCTGTGATCCTGAGTTCCTCCTACACTACAATTGTGCAAGTATGGCACAATTGGGATCTGATCCACAATCCCAAAAAAAAAAATCACAGTTCTTGCCATACATGTGTGACAAGGCAGGAAGAGTGATTGCTAGGAGTGGGGATCAGATAAGAATATCTTCTAGGGGCCCAACTTCCAGAACACTGCACTGAAAAGACCTAAATGTCAGTACCTCAAGTCACCTAACAGTTTTGCTTCATACTGAACCATTCATATTGATGACAAAAAACATACTGATTACAAAAAAGGGAGTTGGCTTTAAAAGAGGTTTCAGTGTTCAAGGGCCCATTAAAGCACTGCTCACTATGCCATCAATCTACATCGTGAAGCAGCTGAGGTAGTCCAATCCAAATAGCTTTACTCAAAAAAGATACCAAATGTAATTGTCTAAGTTATAAACCTATTTATCACCAAATTCTGGTGCTGGGAACTGCAAAAGCCAAAGGGTCCAAGAGTAGTAGCAGAATTTCATGTTCAACAAAAAAAAAGACAGATAAGCAATTCTCACTGCTTTAAGTAAATAAATATCTCCATACAAATAATTAATTAAAAACAGTGTAAATTGCACGATGCTGATGTTTCGTGCTTCCTATTTTCAGACATGATTGTCCAAACTCCAGATAACAAGCAGAAGTTACATTTGTGGTATGTACACAAAGTTAATATGAGTAGTTCATGAAACCAAAGTGATAGAGGAAAAATGAACTACTCCAGGTAAGAGGAATGTGGCCACATAAAAGTAAAAATAGGCTATTAACAAGTTGTTAATCCCTCTAAATATAGAACATAAGGTAATTTATCAAGGTTTGCAGTAACATAAGAATATTATATATAACTTTAGGGAAAAATAGAAGAAAGAATGAAGATTTGGGTCTTGCTGAGCAACTACAAGGCAGATATTTTTTATTTAAAGTATAAAATTTAACTAGAAGTTGCTTTCCAATGCTATTTTAAAAAAATAAATGTTTTTCCACTCTACAGGTTTAATCATATTAGAAAGTGCCAAATGCAGCTGAAATGCCATAAAACCCACCTTTTTCATCTTCGGAATGTGTTACTATTGGTACATCTTGCCTAGCGATGGACATTGGCAATACTTTTCTAGCAGAAATGTTTTCAGAACTAGTGGCAGCAGAAACCGTGGCACTTGCGGTTGAAATATTAGACATACTGCTGGTCAGGACTCCATCAAAGTTCCTCTCATCTGTGTCAGAATCATCTGAATGAAGAGGATTAGTAAAACAGAGGGGTGCTCGAACTGGAAATGTACTGCTATGATCCTCAGCTGTATCACTGGAAGGGAGTTTCACTTGAGATGTGGTGTTTGATACTAGAGTTGCAGTTTTTATACCATGACACAAGACATTTGAAGAGAGATCCTCGGACACAGATGCAGTTAGTGCATTTTCAGACCCATGTAGTGACCACAAAGCATGTCCCTTCTCTTTGAGACACAAACGATCTGGTCTTGGTGGAATGTCAGAACCCTTCCGACTCTGCAGCTCTTCTGGTGAAGGTACTACGGCTGTGTTAGATTCCAGACAGGAGTTTTGAGAAACATCAACAAGTGAACCCCCTGAACTCTGAACCTGTGGCTTACAGGTCTTATCCATTACACAGGCTGTAACAGGCTTAATTTTAATTGCATGTCCTCTGTTTAAGAGAGTGTTCCCCTCAAAGCTTCGTGGTCCCTCCTGAAGAGGTACTTTCTTGATTTCAAAACTTAGGTTCCGCTCAAGCTTTTTCTCTGCACGTTCATTAGGTTCATTCTTCCCTGAATGTTCAATTGATTTGTTATAGTTTTCATTGAGGTCTGTTGAATGTTCTGATGAAACCACGTGCAAAACTGGCTTTGGATGGTATCTATCATTGTCCTGCCATACAGTAGTGACTGTTGGATAGGCTGAAGGAGGAGATGGTGTTAAGATGGGTGGTACGGGCTGAGGCTCTGGCGGTTGCAAGATTTCTTCCTTAGCATCTCCTTCTACAAGGCAACTGCAAAAAAGTGAAGAGAGTCTGTATTTGCACAAGAAAACACCTAATAACCACCCCCCGCAATTCACAAAGATACTCAGAGGCCAATATTAAACTCTAAGCAACATTTCTAATGCCTGCAGACAAAGTTATAAAATAAAGATAACATAGCGCAGTGGTGCTCAACATTTTCAGAGCCACAGCACCCCTCCACCACTTTTTTTTTTTTGTGACAGTATCCCCAGCCGAGAACCACAATAGGTGCTGCCTCAGCTTATTTCAGTGCCTCTCAACCAGGTGTTACTGATGCCAGGTAAAACCACCCCATGCCTGCTGCACAGCCAACCTAGGAAGGGCTGTGGCACATGCATGCTCTAGAGCATGAGCTGCCTCATGTTGTGCCCCTTATGCTTCTTCCAGAAACAGAACCAAGCAGGTGGAACTGCAGCAGAAGTGTACACAGGGCAGTTTTACCTGGCTGCTGTGTACACAACCCTCAGGGGGTTCATGCAACCCTAGATGAGAAACACTGACATAGCAGGTTTGAACTAAGCCACAAACAGGCAAAGAAACAAGTGATGCATCTTACAAACTAATGATATAACAATAATACTATAAATATCCCTAAAGAACTAGAGCATGCAAACCTTAGCCCACATGCATATACTCAGGATTTCTCATTTTTGTTCCTACAGCTGATTTTACAGAGTGGTTGGGCCCCCTTGTGGCAATACTGGAGAAATATTTTCTAAGAAAAAGCCAGTTCATAGTATATGATTTACATAAAAAGCACATAGCTTTCAGTAAGGCTGTGAAAACCTGCAATAAATAAAAGACAGCTACAAAGGACAGATACACAATGTTTGATATTCAGCCCCTTCTAACCCCTCTCAGGGCCTAAGTTTGACTTTTACAAACATTTAGATACAAGCTTTTTCTAAATAGTTTTAATGAGGGTGGTTATAGTTACAAAATTTGCATATAAGCCAGCAGTAACAACTATTATTATCCAATGACACAGCTGCAGTAAGTTACGTCCGGCATATAAAAACAGATTAGGAGATCACGTGTGGATCATGTTTAGAAAGAAATTATAACACTGTCTTCTTTAGGAAGGAAAGGTGACAAGTATAGGGTCATAGATAAGTCAGGTTCATAGATAATTTAGTGGAGCAGGATCTGACCAACAGCTTACAATTTCTATTAAGGATTGTTAAAAGGAAATGAAGTTGTTATTTCTGGGATAAAAAGATGTATTTTTAGTCTTATGGTTTTATACTTGCCAAAAATAGTTCTCCAATAAGAAATTTACTGCCACATGAAATTAGAATAAAAGGTCATCTGCATGTTTAATCTAACTGAATGAATACTGGTTTAAAAAGTCTAAAAACAAAACAGGAAGTCCTTTTCATTCAGATGTAATAAAATAATTTTTTCTTTTCCCTATACAAGCATAAAATCCAGCGACTCTTGGGATACAAAACAAAAATGTTGGAAATATTGTTATACAGTAGCATAAGATTGGAGAATTATCTTTAAATAAAAAACAAACATTTCTATAGTAGGACGCAGAATATAACATTCAAGCTATAATGAACTATACTAAATATAACATCGGTATAGTTAATGGAATTTGGGAAGACAGTGCTATTCACTGGTTGCAAAGATATTTTACAAAGACTAGAATCAGGCTCATGATCGTATGAAATACCAACCACATAGTTTATACAATTATGTTCTCTTATACTGTAGCTTCATGAAAAGAATGGATAAAAACCTAGGAGAAATGAAGAGGAGTCAGATGAAGCTCAAAAGGAGTAGATAAATCTTTGTCTTTTTTCAAAGTACAGCAAGACACACAAAAGAAAATAAAACAGGGATTTCTACAAATATGTCAAGATTAAAAAGACGACCAACGAAACCATAGGTCCCTTATGGAATGCATAAGGCAGATTTTATAGAGATTATACAGGGAAGGCTTTTTTTTTTTTTTTTAAACTTGTCTTCACAAATAAGGGCAGCTATCAGATGAGAAGTGCAGTTGGCAGCAAAGATAGGGAAGGAGACAAAGCAGCCCAGAGTAATGACAGAACAGGCAAGAGAAGCTAGATGCTTTCATGTTGGCAGGGCCAGACAGGATGCACCCTAGGGTACTGAGACCTTATAGAGGTTGAGCAAGATTCCAGATGATTAGGAAAGGGGCGAATATAGTGCCCATCTTATGGAAAGGAAAGGAGGAGGATCTGGGGAATGAAAGACCAGTCAGCCTGACCTTGATATCTTGCAAGATCATGGAAGAGGTCCTCAAGAAATCTACTATAAGGCACCTGGGGAGAAAAAGGTGATCACAAACAGCCAGCATGGATTCACCAAGAGCATGTCATGCCCAATGAACCTGATGTCCTTCTATAAGGGGACAGGCTCTGTGGATGAGGGTGGGGGAGAGCAGCAAACATAATACAATCTCAACTCGTGAGGCTTTTGACATTGGTCTCCCACAATATTCTCATTATCAAGCTAAGGAAATGCAGACTAAACCAAAGTATTATAACCTGGATACACAACTGGTTGGATCATTGTGCTCAATGGGTGGCCATCAATGGCTCAATGCCTAGTTGGGAAGAAGTATCAAGTGGGGTTCCCCAGGAGTCCGGTACTGTCAAACATCCCCGTTACTTATTTGGATGAAGGGATAAAGTGCGTGCTTAGAAAATTTGTTGATGACACTAAGTTGGGTGGAATTGAAGACACACTGGAGGGCAACATGACCTGGAGAGACTGGAAAAACAGTATGCATCCAATCAGATGAGATTCAACAAGGACAAGTGCAAAGTTGTGCACTTACAGTGGACCATGAACTCAACGAGCCAACAAGTGTACTCCTGCTGCAAAAAAACCCACAAAAAACAAAAACAAAAAAACCCCCAACAGCAACAGCTTATGGTGTTTTATTAACAGGAGTGCCACTTGAAAAATCAAAGGTAAGTGATTCTTCCACCCTCTTCAGCACTGGTGAGACATCACCTGGAGTACTATGTTCAGTTTTGAGCCCCACACTTCAAGAAGGATGTGGACGGACTAGAAAGAACCCAGCACAGAGCAGCAAAAATGATAAGCAGAAGCAAGACTTAGAAAGAAAGGCTGAAAGAACTAGGGTTATTAATCTGGAGATAGCCCTTGAAGATGACTGATAGGGGATCTGATAAGTCTTCAAATACCTTAAGGGTAAATTACAGAGAGGATGGAGATGGGTTTTTATCTGTGGCCACAGGAAACAGGACTAGGAACACTGGCCTCAAGATGCAGCAGAGGAAATTTAGATTGGGGAACAGGAGGAACTTTCTGATTATAAGTGTGGCCAGGCATTGGAACAGGCTACTTTTAGAAGTTGTTAAATATCCATCTTTAGGAGTTTTCAAAAGCAGGTTGGACCGACACTTGACTGGAATGGTTCAGTCAGAAACAATCCTACCTTGTGCAGGGGGCTGGACCATATGATCTTGTGAGGTCCCTTCCAGCCCTACTTTCCTACGATCTCATAATCCTATCTGTATTATCAATATTTTGTGCCAAAGTTCTACAGAGAAAACGTGAGTAAATGATGATGCCAGAGCTAGAGTTTCAACAGACTTTGAAATATATTGTTTTGAAAAAAAATGAATGGAAATATCTGAAAATTAATTGGTATGACAATTGATCCTAAATTGGATTCACTATACATTAACTTTACTATACTATCCCTTATGTCTTGTTAAAAAGCGGTATATAGAAATTTTTTGTACAGTACAAGTAAAATGTTGGTATGACTGAGGATTTATTGAGGCTAGATGTAGTCTCACTGCAAGAATGAAATCAAGTTTGTATTTGTCATCATACAACATGGGTTGGTAACCCGAGAGCTGGGTCAGCAATCCGCGAGGCTGAGGCTTCAACAGAAACCAGGAGTCAGGGGTCTCAGTGACAGGGGCTTTGACTCCACCATGCCACAGCTGGGTGGCAGGCAGAAGCAGGTGCAATAGCTGGGTTCTAGTGCCAACCTGCCTCGTATCCAAGCCGAGCCATTCCAGCCTGCCACTGAGAAAGATTACCAAGCCCTGTCATATTATATGGCCTTATATTAACAGTGATTAAAAGGAAGTGCTTACAGAAGTCATTTCCTAGACCAGGAGTGGCCAACCTGTGGCACAGATGCCATGACTGAGTGGCACATGGCAGATTAGGGAGGGAGCAGGGAACACAGGAGCAAATAGGGCAAAAAGCAAAGTAGCAGATCGGCAGGAAGTAGAATACAGAAAAGAAGATGGGGCAGAGGAATAGAACTGGAGTGACATTTGGGGAGGGAGCGGGTCTTACTTTCCGGCATGCCTGCCAAAAAAGTCGGCTGCCACTGCCCTACACAACATGCGTTCAGTTTTCAGAAAGCAAACCAGAAATAAGCTTAACACCTGCAGCATCTGTTAATGTGAGTGAGGGTATTCAATCCATCTTGAACACAATTTTTCAATATCTTTTGAGGAAGATTTTTGCTCAGCTATCCATGTAGCTGTTCAGTTTCAGAGACAGTTGCACCCTTTAAGGTTTTGTATACATTTGTGGAATGTTCATGTCATTAAAGGACTAGATTTTCAAATTATAATCTAAGGTACTATTTCCTGCTCTGGATGGTGTGTCTACATCCCTGGATGATACAGAAAATATTTCTAAATACATAAGAAATACATTTTAAAAAAAAGTGAAAAAAATGAGCACAGAACAGATGCTTTGTGGCTCAGATGTGCTGCTTTCCAGAGGTTAGCAAAACCTAATCCACCCTCAACTTGTGTATGAATTAAGAGCAAAAGCCTGTGTTTTCAACGTGTTTCATAAAAATGTGCCACACTGGATTATGGCAGGCAGGTGGCGGCATCAGTGGGGAGACCCACACAATACTTCAACTCAACCATATTCTTCATGGAATATAAGTGAAATACAAAGTAAAGGTATTCTTTCATAAACATTACACAACTTTAACAACATGCGAG